GCCAGTTCCCACCCTCAAGTGTCCCATACAGACTGAGTCAGGGGAGGGCAGGATGTGCTGGGCTCCATGGGTCCATGGGGTTGACTTTCCGTGGATGGGAGTTAGAACCTTAAAGTAAACTCTCATCACACAGTCACACATGGGCTTAACAGAAGCCAACTGGGTTATAGAAGGATTCTGGAAACCAGCACTCCAGATGAACAATGAATGATTCAGACAGTGATGCAATGCGGATCCCCAAAGGCAAACTCTGAACAGTATCTGTGACCGGTGGTATGGTCCCCAAAGACAGGTTTGCCCATGATCCTCTGGCAGGCAGCTGTTTCCAGGACAGTGATGACACTCTTGAAACATATCAGAAAAAGCCTGCGTGCCACTCACGTTACTCCCATCCTTCTTCATTTGACAATATCGATATATATATATTAAGTTTTAATTAGAAGTTGTGAAGGCTAAACTCCTTGAATGCCTTTGTCCCACCTTTCTTCATGTCCTAGTGTGCAGAACCACAGAGTGATCTCATTCAGGAAAATCACATAACTTGTGAGGTTGCCAGCCACACTTTTTAATATTTTCTGTCCATGCAGCCATTTATTTAGAAAGTTGTATTTAGGTTAGGCAATCACGATGATCTACTATATTAGGTTTCCCTCTGGAATCCAGACAGGAAGTATAATTCTTGCTCAAGGCAGCTTGGCAAACATTTCATTTACATTAAAACATGATGGGGGATGTTCACACACATATGTTCATGTGTGTGTGTGTGTGTGTGTGTGTGTGTGTGTGTGTGTGTGTGTTTCTCTTATTGGTTGATGAATCAAACACTACTTGACCAATAACCAGGCAGGAAGAATAGATCCGGTTAGGAGAGGAAGGAGTGAGGAGGGATAGAGGAAGGGCACAGAGAGAAGCCATGTAGCTGAAGAAGGAGTAACAGGTCCAGACATTCTCTGGCATGATAAGACCCTGTGGAAATACCTAGATTAATAGAAATGTGTTAATCATTAAGAGACAGCTAGCCAGTAAGAAGCCCTAGCCATTGGCCAACAGTTTTATAACTAATATAGTCTTTGTGTGTTTATTTGGGGCAAAGCAGCTGTGGGACCAGGCTGGAAAGAAACACCAGCAACAAAAAACACCAGTATCCAGTGTATAACCCAGTATGAACTGTCACAGTAACTTTGACCTATGGTATCACTTGTAAATTTCTTTTTAAATCTGCCTATCAAAGAGACAGTGGAGGTCATGGTCCCTTCCCATTTTCAGGGAAAATGTTCTTCTGATCGTGTTCCTGGACACAGGAAGTCGATGATGATGAGGTTGGCGATGACAATGTCTATGACGTCTATGATGGCTGTCAGTTATTCAGTAAGAGATGGGCTCCTTTTGTTGTTTCATTTTCATTCTTAGGTAACATACCTCAATCTGTAGCCTTGTATGTAAACTTCCTAATAACTATAACCTTGCATTGTGCTTTATTTAAGCAAAGTTCTCTGGACAGAAATATTTGTTCCCATCTTAGATGTGTGTGATGATTTTATCCACATTGTCCTTTTTGTCCCCAAATCCAGAGTTTCTCTTTTTTTTTCAACCCCCCAATTTAACTTTTCCTTACAATGTTGCAGTGGTTGGTGAGGCCTCTTCTTAGATTTCTTGGAGAACTTGGTCCCAGTGTTTCATAAGTAATCTTGGATGAGTTGGTTTCTATGTCTGTACTATATTTCTTCTTTTGTAATATTAATGTAAGGAAACAAAGGCCACTTGAATCCCGTATTTCTACGTCAGCTCTGCCTTGGTGCAAGATATGAACTCATAACCAACAATCGCTGCTTTGTTCTCCTCTTTCATAGCCAGGTCTCTGGCTTGATGTGGTGAGTACTTGGTATTATTGTCCATTCTTGAATGACTACAGTAGAATCCCTTTGACACCATATGATACCTGCTTTGGCAGTTGACAAGGTGTGCCTTGTGCCTCTCTGCCCCAGCACCAAATAATACACCAAACAAAAAAATGGTTGACACATAGCATTCATGCTATCATACTGGTTTCAACTCAAAACTATCATAGCCTTATTCCGCTATTTGGGCAGAGGAAGGAAACAAGACAAGGAAAATCAAGCCAAGTGTTCTAAGTCAAGTCTTCCTCATATGGAACTCTAACTTTGATGCATGACACCCAACAGGAGTACTATCCCACATGGACTGTCATCACATAGACTCAAGGGAGGAGTAATGGAATTTTCTGTTGAGACCTTCACTTATTCACTATGCGATGATGACAACCATGTGACTATATATTTTTTTCAGCCACTTCACATTGATAATGACTCTCTTTAGATGTTGAGTAGATCTGTGGTGCAGACCTTTGTCTAGTAAGTGAGGTCCATCATGGAGTTCTATCTGTAACTCTCATGGGTGTCCTCTGTGTTCTAGCAGAAAACACCCCTTCTGCTATAGGCTTTCCTCGGCTTTGACTCTGCTAGAGAACCATTTGTGATATTGTGTATCACTCTGGTCCAAAAATAGAACCCAAGGGTTGAAACCTAAGGGGTTTGTGTGGAAAGCAGTTTGTCACTGTTAAATGGAAACTCATTTCCGCCATTCATATTTTTGTTCCATGTCTATATTATAAATAAGCAGGAAGATGCTTTTTCTAACAAAAAATGTTTCATGTCAAATTCTTCCAGCCGCATTTGGGAATGTCATTGAATAAAATAATAGTAGGCTTCCAAGCTAAGAGTAATTATGTTGCATTGCTCTTTTTTTGGCAGGCAGCTATTTTTCCTTGTAAATGAGGCACTTTAACACAAGCTCACACTCTTACTGAAAAGTGGAGGAGGGTTTGATGTAGATGTCGCTCAGCTAGGTACAAGAACATATTCTTCTCACTTCCATTTAATGTAACAAAGTGATCAATTGTCTCATTAATCAATCTCTTCCTTTGGTGATGATCTCTGTAGAAAATAGAAATCGGCATTAAAAATAAAAAAAAAAAAACATGCTTAAAGTGGAGCCTATTCCGAGGCCTGAATATTACACATTTTTATGTAAAAATATTTTAATATTGTTCTTACTAGCATGTTCCATAAGGAAGATTTTGAGAAATCTACTTTGTACACTGATATTTTTAAAGACATAAGCTAGTCCACCTTTTTGAGCTTAGGCTACCGTAGAAGATGCACTAGCTTCATTTTGAATTTTTTGATAACAGGCATTTGATAGCATCATGTGCTTCATGAAATTTAATTTAGACAACCTGGGAGTCAAGAAAAACTGATATTGTAAGCTGATTATCTTTTTAATGTTAAAGGTTTGTCTAGAAATGCCTAAAATCTATAGATGAGAGGACTGAGTATTTTCAATATATGTTTCAAATACGTAAATCCTTTGAAAGCTCATTGTGGGAGGAAATTCATAGGTTCTCTTCCATGAAGACTTGCTGCAGTTAACTCATATTGACAGTTTAAGAAACCTGCTGCATGTCAGTCCCTGTCTCATTCGCATTTCCTTAAGCACTAGGGTGGTGACATCATGCTTCCTGAAGACGAAGAGACCAAGGAAGTACATGCTTTCTAAGAGTCGCATAGATGAGGAGTTGGAAGGAGTGCACAAGAAAAACATGTATTCATTTCTGTATAGATTGTTCCTTTAAGACCCATGTCATGTGTGTCTCTCTGCCATCTAATTTGGGTAATGTGACAATGCTGATATGTGTGAAAAGGGGAAAATAGTTAAATATAGTCTTTGCAAAGAAGATACTGGCCAGCTGATCCTTGATACATTTTTAACCATATGAAGAATAGCAGAGTAAACTCACGATAGGAATGCATGCAAAGCATGGCATTTAAAGCACAGTTATGCATATTGTTACAAAAAATCACACATCAGAAGAGGCAGTCTCCCATGTCAGACATAACTCATTCAGGAAATGTTGGACATAACACCACACACTTAGGATTTGGCTCCCTTAGTGGAGACTGGAGTCTCAAGAAAGGTGTTCCCTGCTACAAGAACATTTCCAGTTCTTCTGTGGGAGGAAAACAAAAATTCTCATATAGGATTTTTGCTACAGTGACTTTTCCTGATTGCTGGCAAATCAACTGTTACCATTCAAAACAAATTTTTACAGATTGAATTGTAGTAAAATTCTCAGGTGCATTTTCTTGAAAGACAGCTGTGGAGATTCTGAGGAAGCATCAATCCTTTATGAAGCACGTTGAATGCTGAATTTACACTGAAACACGGGGATGAGTGGTGAAGGCCAGCCTGCAGCCCAAAGGCTGTGTGCCTCACACCTGCCATTTCACGTTGTGGGAGTTTCTTAGGTGACTGACAGTTGATGGAGACTGGAGGTAAGCGTACTCTGTGGTGCAGACAGAAATGGCCTCTGGCTAAGTGAGGCCCTTCAAGAGAGATTATTAGCAATTCTCTACAAAATCCCATTGTAAGGGCTAGAGTGCCTTGCTCTGGCCAGGGAGGCTATGAAGGATCTCACAACAATATAGGCCAATGCCACTTCCATTTGGATTGCCCGCCACAGCCGCTTGGCAAGACCCTGGATCCTGAAGATGCCATGAGACATGGCTACAGAACATATAGTGATCAAGCTGGAGGGGTTGAATAATGTCTCCTCCTCATTGCTGTCATGTCCTCATGGGACCAGATGTTGACACGTAAGTTGCTATGGAGAACTATCAACAGATACTAAGTGATGGACCAGTGTGTAAAGTACCAATGTGTCAGGAAGGATGAGCCCACTGGTGAGATAATGGAAAGTCCGTCAAAGGGACAACCAGGTGCTTTCTAACAAGATTCCAGTCTCCATCCACAGGAAGGAATTTACATTTGGTACTGTAAACTCTACCGATAGTCCATGACAGGGAAAATCAAATGGACAAACTGGAAAAATCTGTTGTAGTTTTGGTAAACAGACATTGTTTGGCTAGCAAATTCCCTTTTAAATGGCTATGTTTATCCTGTAGAACAGTACTGCTCTCAGCTTTGGACAGAGATATTTTTATTTATCTATTCATTCATTCATTTATTATTAGCAGCGACTACAGCGACTTATAACTTTGCAAGGCACAGACAATAACTGCAGACTCTGCAGAGATAAATAACTCATCTGTATCCCCACACCCACAGTGCAGGGAGCATCATGAAATCAAGACCAGAAGGAACGTAAGGAACAGAGCAAGGGGAAGAGTGTTGGTGTGGAGCATTGACATCAGCCATGACGTAGCATCGGAAGTCTTGAATTCATAGCAGCCATGGCTGTCTGCATATGATCTGATCGTCAGCATCTGATTAGGGAGAAATATTGGTTCACAAGACTCACACACACTCCCTGAAGATTTGTACATAGACACTGAAGGGGGAGGAGGGACGTCTTCTTCAGTGGTGTAGCCACTGGCAAAGGTGTACATGCTCCTGTAAGCAGCTCAATGAAACGGGATGGTTCACACGCTCACAATACATGAAGCAGAAGGGAAGTTTTCTGGAAAAAAGTAAGAGAACTAATGAAGTGGGACAGGGGGCAGGGGGAGGCAATGGTGATGAATGTAATCAGAACGTAAAAACGCACATAGATGAAAATGTCGTCGTTAAGGCCATCATTAAGTATAAATATTGGCTGAGAGAAGCATGACGAAAGTTTTATGGTGAGCGCCACTTTCTGACATTTTTCTTGCATATCTCGACAAGAGGAAATAAAAAAACAAATGTACTAGAATCTTCATCTACAGAATTAATCTCATGAATGTGTGTAGGTGTGCATCCTCAGCTATGTTCAACTGTGTGATACTGAGGCACACTCCAGCCAATAACTGATTGCATTCTTGTTGATTCCAGGAGCTGAAATCCCAATTGGGATTCGTTTTTCTATTTAAATGCAGATGTGACTCGCCACCTGAAGGGGAAAGAATCAGTTTTTTGAATGAAATACTAAGGGGCTGGATCAGTTACATGAACACTCCTTCCCCACAAGGGAAGCCTTTCCTTTTGCTGTCTTGAATGTTCTTTGCAATAGTTTTATAACCTTTTTCTATTTGTTTCATTATTGTACATTACTACCTTATGTGGATAGATATAAATCAAGCTTTCGACGAGTGAAAGATGTAAGAGTTTTAAATGAGAGCAGGTAAAACAGCACCAACTAGCCAAATGAAAACTGAGAAGGGGTGTGATCATATATTGTCAGAAAAAAATGTATTTGAATCTTACATCTTTTTTTTCTGCTGCCTTTTTTTACTCTTTAAAACTTCAAATCCTACAAAGTGTGTCTTAAAATACAGAGCTTTGGGCTATACACATTCATGCCATCTATACCTGAGAGGCTGCTACACTTACTGTATTGTGGGCATTTATAGCAAAGCAATTCAGAATGGCTACATCACTGCTAAACAGTGGTGCAGAACCCTCACTAGATGATTCTGCTTTTCATTGACTATTAGCCAGTGACAGCTCCATTTCAGAAGAGAGGTATGGCATTTTCAGTGTGTTCAAATGCTATAATAATCTATCATATTATATATGTATATGTGTGTTGAATTAAATATAAATATGTAACAACCACACTGCTTAGATAATACAAATGAACAAAATTTAAAGTTAGGAAATAACATGTACTTCAGATCTTTAATAGAAAATTTATTTAAAGTGTATCTTCTTCGTCAGAAGAACTCCATTTGAATTCTCCTTATCATTTATGATAAATAACACATTTTGTCGTTACTGAGACTTAAACATTTGCACTCCTTTGTCAAACAAACAAGCAAAGGCAGTGTAAACATAAAAAGAATATGTTTCCCCTATGCCACATCATTTAGACTTGGGGGCTAAGTAGCCAATCTGTGAATCTCACGGCATTACAATTGAGTGGAAAAGCAAATATTCAGAGTGTTTTATAAACTTTAATTAGGAGCCTGTAAATTTGAAGCAGCCTAACCCAGGTTTCTCTGATAATGTTTCTTGTTGTTGGGGGATTTTTTTTCCTCATAGTTCCTTCTGAACCTCCCTAGAGGTCTGAATATTTTTGTTAGTATCCTTACCATCCAAAACCCTCCCAGCAGTCATTCCCCAGTGCCCTGAGTGACACATCCTTCATCCATCATCTGTCAGGAATTATCACACTTCAGCATGTTAGCACTGCGCTGGTACTAGCATGATGAAGTCAGACCTAGCAGGCAGCCTGGCCCCAGGGATATCAAAGTAATTCCAGACAATCGTGGCATGGGTCATCTGCAACCTAACTTCAGGAAGCATTCCTGAGAACCATGAAGATTTCATATGTATTGCTGAGCTCAGCTCTTCTGGGACTCAGTGGCAGGCGTTTAAAAAACAAGGCAGTGAAAATGACTCTAGGTTGCATCGAATGCTCTGTAATCCTCACACCACGCATTTGGGTCCTTGACACCCCAGGTGAGTCACATTCGGAGCCGGTACTTCGAGTTTCCCCCTGGTTTATTCCTTTTGTCTGTCCCCCATACCAGATCCCGCAACACCAGCCAATCGTTGGCTCCTCTGCTCTTATCACCTCCTCCACTAACCTCACTTCCGCTTCTCACCAAACACTCTTCAAGCCTTACTTATTCTTTGTATACCGATTCAAAAAAAACTTGTTCAGATCCACCCAAAGTAAATCTCTACTCCACACGGTGATCTGAATAGGTTTAGTGTAACCTTATCCCAAAGGGGAAAAAAATCACAGCATCCTCACTGTGACTACGATTCCGCCCCATCAAACCGCCTTCCTTTCACTCCTGGTACATGGGTTACACCCATCAAAATTCATTGAGAGTAATGGAAAGGGTGCCAGGGAGACAGAGTGTCCTACAAGGAGACTCTGGGTTCATGGCCCCTTCATTCTCTTTGCTTCTTGGTTGTTGGTTGGTTGGTTTCTTTCACCACATTCCTGGGCCAAGAACTGCTACACCTGACCTTGGGTCCAAAGTCACCAGGGACCAGCCATCATGGACCAGTCCCCTCTGAAATCATGAGTTAAAATAAAAGAAAACACAGCTTTCTACTCTGCGAGCTGATTTCCTCCTCTGGGGTTTGGTTACGGCAGTAGAAAGCTGGCGGAGGCAAGAGGCTTTCACACACTAAGGCAAGTGCGAACTGATACTCTGATCTCTTCCCACTCATTTTTCTTATTGGCCGGCACGTGTCGGGTGCAAACTTCACGGAGTGTCTCTTCTGTCTCTGTCTCCACTTTCATGTCTGAGAACACGTGGCTTCCTCGTAATTCCTCCGTGGTGAACGGTGCCCTGATTTCTTCTTTGCCTGGTCATGTCCTGTGAGACAAGCCTCTGTCATAGTTTCTACCCGCCAGCCAGCACCTGTGGTCCTTGGAGCACACCATTTTCCTCTCCCGTTAGACTTCTGTTCCACTTAGCTCATCTGTGCAAGGGTGCCCGATGGAGCTCCTCCCACTGACCTTGCTGTGCCAATCCCATTTGCCCCTAGCCTTCTACGCTCCCCCCCATTGACTTTTTTTTTCCTGCTCCATACATGCTTTTAATTTACTACTTTCCTTCATCTTTGTTCACCGGTCGCTTTTGCCTTTGTGGACACTCAACATATTCTACAAACTGTCTCTGTTTGTAAACAACGGTCTCGTGATTTTCCTAAGCAGATTTGTCAAAACCATCGTGATGGGCACACACGTGTTGTTTCTCCTCTTTATAACAGGAGCTGTCTCAGGCACCAAACATGATTGCAAACCGGAAACAGGTTCGTTGAGCCCTCCCCGGTTTCATTCTCACCGTTCTGCTCGATAGACGTGTTTGCCCCTAAATTACCAGCACTCCCCCAGGTTCCTAAAGTAAAGGGCTCTGCTTGTGTATCCTAAAAGCCTACAGCAGCATCCCACAGAGCAGTCAGCACTTTCCAGAGAAATGACCAGTGGACAATCTTGCTCACCTGTCCCGAGAAATGAGTGTTCCCCAACACAGCTGTTCATCAGCTTCCCTTTGTGTCTGTGGAAAATTATTCCCAAGTTTTCCTGTCGCCCCTGGGCATCTTCCTGTGCACACAAAGTCACAGCTAAGCTGTGTACAACAGTACACGGTTGTTGAGGCTAAACACAGAGCTGTTACGCCATATTGTTTGGGGGGATAATGGTGGACACTGCACACACACACACACACACACACACACACACACACACACTCTACAATCACAGTTATCAAAAGTTCATTTGAGCTGCACTGGGCTGAACCCCCAGATGAACATCCCAACAGACATGTAATGGATGTGCTCATCACACAAATCTGCGTAGAAGCCCTAAATGTTCTGAGACTGTAGAATGAAGCCTTCCCGCCAGCCTGGTTCCAGAGCAGCATCAGTCCTAAATGAACACACAGGAGGCTATATTAATTATGAAGCTGTTGGCCTTGCTTGTTTCTTACTGGCTAGCTCTGACTTAAGTATTTACCCCATAATTGTAAATATAAGTATTTCTCTTACCGGAGAAAAGGGTCCAGACCTCTTATTCCTATGGCGGCTGCATCATGACTCCCTGTGTTTCTCTTTCCCAGAATCCTCCTCGACTCCTAGTCCGACCTATCTTGTTTCCCTATCTGCCAACAATGCTTTATTGACATATACACAGGACTTCCCCATCATGAGACCTTCTCTCCAGCTGGCCTTCTCTGGATCATTATATGTGGTTCTATAGGGTTAGGGTGTTATAATTTTAAATAGTGGTGCTCAAGAGAAAGATGTCATATGTTAGCTTGGGTGGACAGTTTTTTTTTAATTGGGGAAAAGTGAATGGGAAAGGGGGAATGGAAGAAGGGAGACCATCCTCTGGGGATAGGAGCAGGAGGAGAGAGAGAGAGGGAGGGAGGGAGGGAGAGAGAGAGAGAGAGAGAGAGAGAGAGAGAGAGAGAGAGAAAGAGAGAAAGAGAGAGAGACAGAGAGAGAGAGAGACAGAGAGAGAATGTGCACAGGTGGTGCTCTCAGTGGTTTCAGCTGAGGGCGTATCCTGTCAGAACCCCAAGGTCAAGCCAGTACACATGCCTGAATACTAACACAGGGGACACTCATCCTACTGCAGGACAAAGCTGTATTTTCATTCAAGCATTATTCTCCTGACACACTGTGTAATAAATCATTGTATTTACACATCTAAGACTTAATAACACAGGTGTAATATAGAGAATGAATAATACGAACCTGGCAGATAAATAGCTGTCATTATTCACGTGTGTTCTAATAACCTTAACCTTTCAGCATTGCAGAAAAAAGCTTGTTCAGAAGGTGAGATGGCCCATTGTGGAATGTACTTTTTATCAAGCCTGAGGACCTGAGTTTGGTCCCAGCACCTTACATAGAAGAAGGAGAGCACTGACTCTCAGATGTTATCCTCTGAACCCCATACGTGCATCCACCTACACCATCACACAATTTTTAAAAGAAAAAAAAAGAAAGGAAGTTATCTGCCCTAATTTGAAACACCAAGCCATTTCTCTGCTTCAAATCCCCTCTCTCTGATAAGAAAAAAATGTCATTCAAATGACTTCTGAGTTTTACCTATGAAATTCAAGTCTAGACACAAGATAGAACAAAATGTTGAAATAATTGACAAATATTTTAAAGGAAGAAACTTCTCATGTTCATGACATTTTAAATGACTGTTTTCTCTTGGAATATTTAAAATGCAAAGCAGATAATACTTCTCAACATTTTGTTTTAAAACCAAATACATTTTCAAAGAAGTCTCGGTGTGTTTATATTTTAATGCCTCTTTCTCCATCAACTAATGCTGTTTCTGTAGCCCAAAGCAGCTTTGGAAGAGTGTAGTGTGGTAATTGCTTTCCTCTGACAGCAACTCCCATATGCCGGAGATATGAACAATCCCTCTGTGATTGGCCCACTCAAATGTGAACATGCCCAGCGGGAAAATGAGTTCGGCTTGTTAATCATTTTTGGAATTTTTTTTTGTTGGTGACATTGTTAATGAGGTTGTACTGTTTCTCTACTCGTGCCTCTCAGAGATACCTAGTCAGGGTCTGATGAGGCTGTAAGATGAATCCATTTCCTTCTTTTTCCCCCCTACTGCTAACCCAGGGCAAGGAGGCTCTTTGTCACGTTTTGGTGTCATCCCCATTTCTTCAGGCCACTCTCAGGAGTGCAGCAGCTTTCAGGCCACCTTGGCTTTTTGGGATGGATTTCTAAGACCAGGAGGCTTGGGGAATGAACTCACATTATGTCCAAATAGCTGGATCTAGTCCTGATTATCAATACACTACAGTTATTTGTGTGTGTGTGTGTGTGTATGTGTGTGTGTGCGTGCGCGCGCGTGTGCTATGCAAAGCAATAAAAATGATTTCAAACACTCTTTTAATTGGCTTTGTTCACATAATTATTAAATTAAGACTGCCACGAGTGTTTCTTCATCTGGAATGATAATTTCAAAGCTGGCATTTTACAAGCAATTTCAGAAGAGTGGAGTTTTTAAACTCAATTTTGTTAAATGGATTACTTTTTTTTTCTTACTGTAGGATATAGTGAAACTGAACTGAATAAATAAAGTCAAAATGAACTCATAAGATGTGCAAACTGTTGGATATCTTAGGAGGATTGAGTTGAATTTTAAAGATAGGCTGAGGGAGTTCATACATTCCCAGGCACCAACTGTAACACTAGCCAGTGGTTAGAAAAATAGTATTGACATTTCAAGGATCTTCACTCACACTTCAGTATGCCCCTGAGCACTGTTGGAACGAAACTCTTCTTTCTTTTATAAGTTAATGGTCCTCGAAAGTAGGTCTGATGATGCAAATGCTGCATGGATTTTTAATTCCAAGAAAGGCTTCTTTCCCACGCACCAAGAGCAATCAGACACAGATCCCAAACAACATGAAACATCAAGTTTGTCTGTTTGGATGTTTATTGCGGCATTTCAAAAGTACTACAGAATGTAGAGTTCTATAGTTTAGTTTATATCGTAATATTTCCTCCGTTGATAGCACAATAATTATAAAAACAAATAGTTTAAATTTATAGACAAGAAAAAAAACTATGGTCAATTTAAATGCCCATTTAACAGGAGCCTACCTCTGACGAAAGTTAATGAGGTGAGCAAGGTCTGTCTTCCATTATCGCTGATATGAGCAGAGTTTTGACCTCCAAGGTCCCCAGAAACCTGAGATAAAACGGTGTTCTTCGAGTATGCAAGATAAAAGAGAACAGTTTATGTTTCCCAATTCATCTTCTGTGACCTGTCGGAAGTGGTCAACTCAGGATTATTAAGGACTCATTTTAATCTTGATTTCAATGTCTTCTCCCAGATGCCTCTGCCGCAGAAAGCAGAAGTAGCAAAGATTCCTGATAGGATTTGCAATTTGAATCTCATTCCCTCTCTCTTCACATCCAGATTAAGGACTAAATCTAGAGGTCCTTGGAATTACTGCTCAACACTTTGCCTCTCCCAGTGTCCTTTTGACATGAAAAGAAATGGAATTGAACACCAACTAGCAGACCGCTGCTCTCCAGGCTTAGGTTGACTCAACAATCCCAGGCTTCTGCTTGGAAATCAGTTGTTTGTAACATCGAGCCCACTGCGTGTGATTTCATTAAGGATAACGTTTCCTATTTTTATCTCTAGACGTCTATGCGGCTCTCCTTTTGGCAACACCCAAAATGCTGGCGTCTTTGTTGAAGGCCTGCGTAATTAGTGTTGCTGACTGCAGCAGTGTCGACAGCTCTACGGTCACTGGGACCCTCCTTTGAAAGACCTCCAGGTAGTCCTTGGCAATCCGGCACAGAGGCCTGGAAGCTTTGTCCTTTTTCTCCAAGGAAGATTCTGCAGCAAGGTGTTTGCATTTATGTTCTAGCTTGTGCAAAAGGCCAGGGAATCGGCCCCTTCACTGTGCTTCCCCACGTCTGTTCTGGAGACGACCCAGGTGCTATGTGTTTACTCTAAAGCAGAACACCACCCGGAGGCCCCCTTTAGTCAGAGATCTCCCACCTGGAGCAGCTCCTTCAGGCCGTACTACAGCCCTGGCATTGCACACTGAAGACGGCCCTTACAGTCTTGAAGCTCGGTAAGTGACCCCTGTGGCGTTGGAGCTGTGTGTTCCCCTGGCAGGAGCTGGGATTCCCTGGCCCTCTCAGTGCTAGTCACCTCTCTCTGTGCCTTTGTCTCTTCTGTAAACTGGAGTTTGCCCAAGTAAACACCAACCTTACCTCTGCCTCCTGCTCTACTTAATGAAAACGAAAGACAGCAAAGAAAGCCTTCTGAGTTTCCAGCACGGCATTTCCTTGATGCGGTTTGTGTGTTAGCTAGCCTGTCCCTGTGTTCGTAAGTTCCTTGCCGTTTTCCGACGAGTGACCTTTTTCCTGCAAGTAGGCTAGTCCCTTTCTCCTCAGAGATCCTAAGAGTTTTCGCATTTATTTAAACAACGGGACGCAAACGAGAAGCAATTTTGCAAACAGAAGCTGAGTTATGCATAGCGTGTGTCCCCCAGCTGTGGCTTCCGTTCTTTTCCCCCCTTTAAAGCTGGGGAATCAGCATCACCCAATACTTGAAACTGTTTGTAGCTAGGTAACTGTCAATCTCCCCAGTTCTCAACACAAATCTCTCTCTTACTTCACATTCTTTTCCTCGGATGTCCTCGGCTACACCCAGGGGTCTCCACAAACTCTGCTCACCTCTGTCTTGCTTCTCCCTGAGCTAAACCTGCAGCTTTGAATCTCCAAACTCTTTTCCCACGGAGATGTAGGAAAATGCCTTAAGCGTGGGCAGATATTGCCAGTGTTCACACGTCGATTTTCTGATGAATAACTGTTTCTTTTCAATAATCTTATAACTTTTTGCTTCTTCGTTATTTTTGGGGAGGGTATAATAGATCCCAGTATCTAAACAAAACCTAATGTAAGAGCAAATGGACACAGATGTATGGTACGGGCATGAGTAGGTGGTAAGTTCCCCTTCCCGCTCCTGTACTAGCTGACAGCCCCACTCGAGAGAGAGGAGCAGGCTGATTGAGAACTGCACCACTTTGATTGAACGATAGTTGGAACAAAATAATAATAGAATAAATCTGCAATTTAGAATAACAACACATTTATATTCGATTCTGCTCTGTTCTTGCTTCTTTTCAGACTGTTTGATCTGGTATTTGAACAGGTCAGGGCAATTTGTTTTCTTTTAGATTAAGAAACATGGTGCGTTGTCCTTCAGCTCATTTATTAGTGCCTTTGATTAAGGATGACTATTCTAGTTTCAGCTGAAAGTTGGCTGTACACTTGTGTCTGACCCAAACTGACTAATCTGTTACATTTTGTGCTATATTAAACTGTGGATCCTCGGGAATTGAAAATCTTGTTCTGTCTTGGGAGTGTCATGCTGGCAAATATATTTTTCATATTCCACACAAAGAGAAATGGTTGTAAACAATAGAACATTCACTTTCCCAGGATATTCTACAACCGCTTAAAGATGGCAGGCAAAAAGAACATGAATAAAAAAGTTGTTTTAAAATGATGATGTATTTCAACACATTTTAACGTTATCATTAGCTTGTGACCTGTCATTATTAGAGGAGTTTAGAAACCATAAGCATTAACCACTAATCACTAATTAAAGTCACTGGTGGGAGAAATTTGGAAGAAACACTGCATTTTTGCTTTGGAAGGAAATCCAAAATTATGGCAAGTCTTTCATTAAGGTCCCACATTTTATCTGCTTCAGGATGACTAACACACAGATTGCGCACTCTTTATTAATTACCACTTCCGATTCAAACTTGAAAATACATCACTGCCTTTTTATTAGAGAAAACTAAATGCCAATCCCCATTAATTAAAAGAAAACACATTATCACAGGATGGGATTACAGAAAGCACTTAAAAATTGTCACATTGATTTTGAAATAAATATTTTAACACAAACATCAATGAAATTATACTAAGTAATTAGAGACAAATTGGGAACTGCAAACACTGCCCCTCATGTTGCTGTAGAGTTATTGTCTCTGAACGCATCTAACCAGCCCCACATGGCTGTCAGAACTTGGTATCTTCAGCCTTTCAGCCCCTTTCGTAACTTCAGTGTTTGGTTTCTTCGGTCAAAGGGCGCAGCCACTCGTGATCTTGATAGACCTGTCTGTTGCTCTAGCCTTCATTAAAATAATTAGTGATAACTAATTCTCTTCAGTCACACACTATGACAAACCTTTTGCCCTACCCTTGTCACTCTTTTCAATCATGCACCACAGTATATCGTTCACAGATTTTATTTTAGTCTCTTTTCCTGGTGGGCCAAACACCCTGCGTGCGTGCCATCCATGAGCAAGTTTCATCATTTCTTGACTGAATTCCTAGCTAGTTTTCAAAAGAGTTACTTCTACTGAGTAGAGTTGTAGTCTGTTCAATGTCAGCTCTGCCTCGGTACCGATTTCTGATGCCCCAGTTTCTTTAAGAACTCAGAGCAGCTGGTTGCCAACCCTGTCTACAGAGTACTTTTGCATTGTCTGCCTCTGGAAAAGCTTTATTCTTTGAGAAGCAATTACCCACTAGCCCCATCATAATGGATTCCTCTCTCAAACACTTATCCATCATAGATACAATGCTATTGCCATGTCTGGAAGCTATGGACATATTGCTCCATCTTGAAGAAATTTGGTAAGACATGAACAGAAATGAGAGATAGGAAACAGTTGCTAACTCAAATAATGTAGGAATCTCATCTTCAAAATTACTAATGACTGCAATGATGCCTTTTGCCTTTTCTTTATTTTGCAAGGTTTCAGTTACCATAGTCGATCATAGTCCAAACAATGAATGTATTTTAGAGGTAAACAATTCCTAAGCTGAAACTGGGCACAGTTGTGAGCATGTTGAGGCCTCTGGTATAGTCATGTTCCCTCTGCGAGCAATGGAAGTCATCAGTTAGCCATGCATCTTCAGTCTCTATGTGACCCTACTGTGGGCACTTAGCAACTGTCCTTGTAGTGATGTGACCCTTATGCCTTGAAGCCTGCAACACTCACTTCACTCATCACTGTGTCACTTTATAGCATCACAGGAAATATGAACAAACACACATACACACACACAGAGGACATAACTTTTCTAGAAATGTGTGATTATGACTTTTTGTGTCATTAATTTCTTATCGTTTTTATTTATAATCAAATTTTACCATGAGTACAAAATTTTTTAATGTTAGAAAAAACATTTAAGATTTAGAACTATGTGATATTTTAGACATCCAATAGGGAGGTCTTGGAATTCATGCGCCTTGATCATGAGAGGCAGTGATACTACAGTTTAATGGGTTGCAAAGCATGTATAATCCATGCTTTGCAACTTACAGATTTTAGATAACTCCATAGACCAAAAATAAAGCTCATTTCCTTTTTCCTCTATGTCCCATGTTAATTTTGATGACAGTGCAGCATATTAACTATATGCTAATTGCAACCTTGGATTCAAATTTGAGGATACAACCAGTCACTTAGATAAACTCATGAGGCATTTAAGAAGGACACAATTCCTGGGAAGGAAATACACAGCTAGATGGCCTGATTATTTGTGAAAACTAGTGAGTGTACAAGCACAATCTGATATCCCGGTGGTCTTACCATACTATACACCGGGTTATATACTGTTACAAGGCTACCATTGTACATGGGGCTTGCTTTGCACATGGAAGGTGACTCATCACTCAGGAACAATTTTCCCATCTACCAAATATTCCTAGTTTGAAGTCTTATCTTCACAACAATAGGGTCCCACTTCCAGGGCACATCTGGAATGTGCAAGTGTCTCCAAGAAGTTTCAATTCAATGGAAGAGGGGGCAATGTTCTCTGAGTGCTACCTGACTATTTAACATGATCGATTTCCTGTCCTGGACTAGAGAGGAAGACATTTGATTTGTCCCACAAGCATCCTCTAGAAGGATACTGATATAATTACAATGCTCCAGAGGGGAAGGCATGTGCTAACATGTCATTTCCTAATGTTGTATCTTGTTTAAGATAATTCTCTCATTATGCAACTCAACTCTAGCAGTTTTTCCATCAGTTTGTTCAATTGTGTGAGCGTCAGATGGTTTGTACAGTGTAACATATAGACACTAGAGACAGTGTTGAGAATGGTGTTCTTTTGTTTCTATCTCAGAAAATTGGTGCGGGTGCTATCATGAGAGAAAATTACCTTACGAAAATTATCTCTCCTATAAATATCATTCCTTACATGGGATTTTCATTCAAATTTTGAGTTGTTTTCCTCCTTGCTCCTTTTTGAATGGCTAGGATTATTACAACACATGATGTTTGCTGAATTTCCTCATCTACTGATAGAAAATGATTCTAATAAAGGTGTCTGAAGTACGTGTCAAAGGGGTGTTGGGGCCATATAGTTGAAAAAAAAAACTGCACGGACTAGGCAGATCCTGAATGCAAGGGACTTTGTGACACTGTGTTTTCTGATAAACTGGCATTGTTCGTGGACTCCTTGGTTTTATTCTTGCTTGTGAAATGCCCCTGGTAGATGAAGAGTCTCCATGTTATGCCTGTGAACGGATGGTTTGGCTCACATAAGCAGTGCTGAAATCTCCATTCTGACAGGAACAATCTCCATGCTAGGGAAATGTCATGACGATAGGGAGCAGTAAGGAAGGGATGACAGGAGATGACCATTGATCACTGCAGGGGGGCACCTCTGCAGGGGTGTGACTCCAAGGCAAGGTCAGAACTATGTCTAGAGAAGGGGCGTTTGGCTTTCAGCTGGCAGTTTGCAACCGCATTAGTATGGCGACCACCTCCAGAGACAACCCTTTATTTTGAGAGTTTGAGTTATTCAAATCACAGTCCAAATATTTTATTGTACTTCATGGCTCTTGAAAACAGCTCAACTGTAATTACCAGCTAATTGGAAATGAGCTGTTAGTAGTTTTATTTTCTCAAGGAGCAACCGTAGGCCAATCAGGGAACTGCAAAGGAATCACTATGATCTAGGCATGGAGTGTGCCTCAACTCCATCAGCCTGTGCAGACATTAAATCTACTGTCTACATTGCTGTCAATATATAAGATGT